AATATTATATCTTTTCGATAGTTATGAATAGCATTTGATTGTATAGAATATTCGAAATCATCTTGTATTATTTACTTTATACATACATATATTTTAATTAGAACTGGAATATACTTTGTTAATAATATGTTTTATTACTAATATTCATAATATAGTTAATGATAATTTAAATTTTTGATATTTTATAGTTTTTATGTTTAAATTTTTATTGAGTCTAATAATATTTATGTTTCATAGTTCATTTTTTTTAATTTTTTTTATTAGAATTTTTACATTTTATTTATGAAAAATTGTATTTTTTTAATCGTAAAATTATTTTTTCTAAAATTTTCAAATAAATTTTTATAAAAATATTTAAAAAAATATTTTTTTACTAATTAGTTAATTAATACTATAAATTATATTAATTTTTTTAAAACTTTAAATTAAAAAAAATTAGTTATTTATAGTATGATTGATAATAAATAAGATAATTTATTTTTGATCAAACATATTTATTAATATTTGTATTTTATATTATAAAATAAATGTAGAATATTATAAAAAGTTAATTTTATATATATTAAAGTAATTTGGATAGAAAATTTTTTTATTAACATTTTTTTAATTTACACATATTTATTGTTTATAATTTTTTTATTTACTCTTTAATTTTTATTAAAAACTATAAAAAAACAAAAAAGGACATTATCATTTTTTTCTTAATTTTTTTTATTTTGAATATTAAATTAATAAAAAAAATAATAGATTAACTATTAAAAAAATAAAAAATGTTGATGTTTAATTTTTTTTTATTTCTACAAAATAAAATAGAAGATCAAAAATCTTTTCATAAAATATAATAGTGTATTTATTATTAAATATAAACAAATAAATACAAAGCTAATTTTCTTTTTTCGAAAATAAATAATAATTTTTTTACAAATTAATAACATTAATTTTGTATTTATAATTTCATTATAAAATTAAATAAATTAAAATATATTCTTCAATTATATTTTTTTTTTAAAGTTAAAAGAGTATATTTTTATTTTACAATAAATAAATAAAATAAAATAATTAATAAATAAAAATGTAAACTTAAGCTAATATATATGAATAACAAAAAGAAATGAAAAGAATGTAATTTCGAAAATATAAAAAAGAATCAAAAATTTAATATTCATATAAAATTACAATAAATAAAATAGTGGAAGCATATAATATAGCATTTTGACATCTTAAGAAATAATAGACATGTCAGAAATATGTTTGACAGAACCTTAATTTTATAATCCAGCAACAAAAGTACCTTTAAGCAGAGGTCCTTTAGATTTGAGAATGGTAATTAAGTAAAAATATAAAAAAAAAGCTCATACCATTTTTTTTATTAAAAATTATCAAATAAAAAAAAAATTAATAATAAATAAATAAAAGGGTCTTTCAATGCGAGAAAATAATCAAAAATGTCAAACATGTTAAATGGATATGATAGATTGTCCTGGACATTTTGGATATATAAAGTTAGTATTACCAATATTTCATGTAGGCTTTTTTACTGAAATAATAAACATTTTATAATGCATATGCAAAGTAAAAAAATATATATTTATAAATATAATTATAATTAATAGAATTGTGGTGAAATACTATTAAACATTGACGAAAAGTTAGCTTGTAAAAAGCGCATGTAACGCGCTATAAACGAGAAAAACTACTAACTACGAATGCTGATATATACAAAAATGCGTAAAGAGTGTAAAAAAGGTGCTAATTCACGTTGCCGTATTTGTGATTATAAAAATGGAAATTTAAAAAAAATGCCTAAAATGCCCACAACAATATCTTTTTAAAACCACACTAAAATGGAATCTGATTTCCGTGAAATAAAAAAATCAGAAAATCTTTAATAAGAAAACCTTCGTAAAATCCTTGATTAAAAATAACTTAAAGACATGATTCAACTTTATAATCCCCTTTAAACTTTTAATTTATTTAAAAAAATCGCCCAATCAGATGTCATATTATTCAATATAGACCAAAATCATCCTATAGACCTGATCCTAACACACATAATAGTTCCCCCATCATGTATCCGTCCTACAATAAAAGAAGGCGAATCAAATGTCCGACATGATGATTTAACAGTCAAAATTAGAGATTTTCTTGAAAGAAATAAACGAATTGCTTAAATGATAAACGATGGAGAAGATCCATCTAAAATAAATCAAGAATGGTTTTTATTATAATGTTCACATGCCCATTATTTAAATGCCGAAACTCCAAATTTACCATTTAAAATGGACAAAGATTTCGGAAAAAAAGACATTAGAGCCCTAGCTTAGAGACTCAAAGGAAAAAAAGGTAGATTTAGAGGTAATTTATCTGGAAAAAGATCTAATTTTACTGGTAGAACAGTTATTTCACCTGATCCTAATATTCCTATAGATAATGTTGTTATTCCAGAATATATGGCTAAAATATTAACTTTTCCGGAAACTGTGGCATCTTATAACATCGATAAACTTAAAAAATTAGTCATTAATGGACCCGATAAGTACCCTGGTGCTCATTATATAATTTCAAAGGATACTTAGGATAAATTTAATCTCTCAATAGATAATAGGAGGAAAAAAGCAGACGAGTTAAAAATCGGAGATGTAGTCGAAAGACATATCTAAAACGGAGAAATTGTGCTTTTTAATAGACAACCTTCATTACATAGGATATCGATTATGGCTTTTAAAGCTAATATATAGAAATGGAATACATTGAGGTTTAATGAATGTTGTTGTGCACCTTTTAACGCCGATTTCGATGGAGATGAAATGAATATTCACGTTCCATAGACTATAGAAGCTCGAGCGGAAGCCTAATATTTACTAGATGTAAAATAAAACCTAATAAGTCCTAAAAACGGAGAAACAATAATCGCTCTTGTGTAAGATTTCCTAACTGCATCATATTTAATTACTCATAAAGATATGTTTTTTGACAGAGCGGCTTTTTCCTAACTCTGTACTTATTTTTCAGATGGAAATGAATAAATATAATTACCTCCTCCTGCAGTTATTCTTCCAGTAGAAATGTGGACTGGAAAATAAGCAATTGACGCAATGTTAATTCCAAATAGAAAAAATAAAATAATTGTTAATTTAACTTTAAAAGAAAAATGTTACAATACCAAAAAAGACAGGGAAATAATGTGCCCAAAAGATGGATATGTTGTATTCTAAAATTCAGAATTGTTGTGTGGAAATTTAGGAAAAACAACTCTCGGTTCTGGAAATAAAAATGGTCTTTTCTATAGATTAAGTAGGGATAATTCTTAATAAATAGCAGCTGCGGTAATGACTAGATTCGCCAAATTATCCGCAAGATGGCTAAGTAATTATGGTATGACTATAGGTATAAGTGATGTTACTCCATCTCCTTAATTAAATGAATAAAATGAAAAATAAAAAGATGAAGCGTATATATATATATATATATATATATATATATATATATTTATATATATATATTTTATTTTATTTTTTAAAGGATATAGAAATGTACTTATGAAAGTAAAAAATTTGAACGAGAAATAAATGCTTAATAAAAATTACATACTACTTCAAATACTAGTGAAATAGCAGCTGATAAAAAAAAACAAGTCGAAGCTTTTATATCTAAAACTCTTAATTAAGTAAGAGAAGATATTGGTTCGAATTGTAATAAAGAGTTACCTCCTACTAATGGTCCTTTAATTATGGCAACTTGCGGTTCTAAAGGTTCTGCAACAAATCTTTCTTAAATGATTGGCTGTGTAGGTTAATAAATTATAGGTGGTAAAAGAGTTCCTAATGGTTTTACAGGCAGGACCTTACCTCATTTCGCAAAAGACGAAATCTTCCCTCACCCAGAGGCAATGGGATTTGTCAGAAATTCATTTTTTACTGGACTTTCGGCCCCAGAATTTTTCTTCCATACAATGGCTGGTAGAGAATCTTTAGTTGACACAGCTGTAAAAACAGCGGATACAGGTTATATGTCGAGAAGATTGGTTAAAATGTTGGAAGATCTCTCAATTAATTACGATTTAACTGTTAGAACTTGTGATAAAAAAGAATTAATTTAATTTAGATATGGAGGAGATGGAATATGTCCGTGGATGTCTGAAGAAAAAGTAAGCGATAAAAGCGTACCTGTGGATTTATATACAGTTTTTAAAAATGTAAAAAGCATTATTCCAAATAGGGATGGATAAAAGAGTCTTTTGCCTTTTTAAATTATGAAAATTACATTAAAATAATTACAGAATGTTAAAATGGATTATATTCCGGAATTAAAAATTAATAAAAATAATTAATTATAAATAAATGAAATAAATAATCATCATTATTAATCTGATAATATACATATATAAAAATTACTTTCTGATACTTATAAAGAAGATTCTTCAAGTATTGTAAAAGAACCTCTTGAATATTTCAAAGATAGTGTTTTTAATTTTATTAGATAAATATGTCTAAAAATCATCAAAGTAAGATAATAAATAGGACTGACAAGGGGAGATGATGAACTCACTAATAATGAATCAAGTATTCATGTAGATAACTCTATTCACATCACAGAATAATAACTAATGTTTTTCTTTAAATTAATATGGGAAAGATACCCTTAAATGCTTGTAGAACCCGGAGAGGCAGTCGGTGCTATTGGAGCGACTTCGATTTCTGAACCAGCAACATAAATGACATTAAAATCTTTTCAGTTAAAAAAATAAATATTTATTTTATATATACTATTTTTTTTTTAAATAAATGTATAGTTTTGCAGGTATTGCTAGTATGAATATTACATAAGGAGTTCCTCGTATGAAAGAAATTATCGACGCAGCCAAAAATATTAGTACTCCAGTAATAGATGTGAAGTTATTACCTGAATATTAAACAGATGAGTATAATTTTAGGTCGATAAGATTATAAATAGAAAAAACTTACTTAGGTGAAATTTGTGAATTTTATAAAGAAGCTTATTCACCAAAAGATTGTCATTTACACATATAATTGAATTAGTAATAATTAGAAAAATATAGGACTTTAGGATTATAAATTCCTACAGAAAATATTATAAAAGGAATTCTGGAAACTGCTAAAGACATAAAAATGGAATAAATAGTGGAAGTAAAAGAATAGGGATCACATTTTTCAACTGCTTTGAAAATTTACCCAACAAACGATTTGAAAAAAAATGTTTTTTTTAAAATTTAAAATTGGAAAAAAATACTTCCTACAGCTGTTGTTTCAGGAATGAAAAATGTTAAAAGAGTTAATATTTCAAAAGATAAAAAAAAAAATGAATAACATTATAAATTTGACCTTTTTGTAGAAGGAAATGCCCTAAAATAAATTTTAATGCTTGAAAAAGTAGATTTTTCATCAACTTCAACAGTAGATATTTATGAAGTGTTTGAAGTCTTGGGAATTGAAGCTGCAAGAAAAACTATTATTAATGAAATTACAAAAACTATTAAATCACATTCTCTTAATGTTGATACTAGGCATTTAGTTCTTGTGGCTGATGTACTTACTTCGAAAGGTATATAAATTTTTTTTGTTATGTTATTTTTTTTTTTATTAATAGGAAGATTATATGGATCAACTAGACAAGGTATTAATTTTATGAAAGACAGTACTCTTATGTTAGCTTCTTTTGAAAAAACTACAGAAATTCTTTATAATGCGGCTTTGTAGGGAAGGAAGGATTTATTAGAAGGAGTTTCAGAAAGGATTATTATAGGATAGAATATTCCAATGGGAACTGGGACTTTTAATGTTTTATATGGAAATTAAATAAATAAAAATTAGAAAGGAAAATACTTAATTAAATCAAAACTAAATTTTCAACCTTTATTTAATGAAAAAAATTGAAAAAAATAAATATTTATTATATTTAAAATAAAAAATTGTTTTTTATTTTTATTTTTCAAAAAAAAAAATATATATTATGAAGAATTTATATTTGATATTTGATATTTTTTTTTTTTTTTTTTTTTTTCAAAAAAATAAAATAAAAATAAAAATAAATAAATTTTTTTTAACTACTTTAAAGATCAAATTATAACCATTATTTTTGAAAGAATATTTAAATTATTATATTTATGCAAGCAAATAAAAACATTAATAAAGTAGAAAATAATAATACAAAAAAAAGTGCCTTAATAAAATCTAATAATGGCATAAATAAAACAAGAAAATAAGTTGTATGGAAGGAAAATATAGAAATAAATATCGTTGAAAATTGGAAAGAATATAACATTATTGATGATGATTAAGATAGAACTTAGTGCAAATGTTTAATATTTTGAAAAAAAAAATCTATAGAAAGTAAATAAACGAATATTTATTAAAACAAATTTATTTATAATATAATATATATATATATATATTATTTATAAAGAAAGTAAAAAATAATAAGATTATGTAGAAAAATAAAAAAATGTAATTAATAAATATTTATTAAATTCTATAATTAATAAAATTTCTAAATTAAAGTAAGATTTAATTTGTAATTTCTTTAATCTTATTGATAAATAAATAGAATTTTTTTTTTTTTTAATATTAAAATCTATATTTATATCTAAATTATTTGAATAATTAATATAAATGCTTTTTTATAAAAATAAAAAAAATAAACATAAAAATTAGTTAAAAAATTTGTATAAAAAAAGTCTTTTTTTTTATTTTAATCGAAATTATAAAAAAGTATAAATGATATTAATTTGATTGAATAAAAAAAAATATATTTATATTAAAATTTATATATAGTAATTTTTTTAAAAAAAAAAAAAAAAAAAATATAAAGATAAAAATTTATATTCATTTTTATTATTATATTATTAAAAAAAAAAATATCAAATATTAATATATATATATTAATTTATAAATTATCTAAAAATATATAAGTAAAAATAAATATAAATGTAAATATAAATAATATATATATATATATATTTATATATATTTATATATATTATATATATATATATATATTTATATATAATTTAACTTAAATTATTTTCAAATTTTTATATATAAAGATAATTTATTAATATTAAATAATTATTTATTTTATTATATTATTTTTTTTAATATTATTTTATATTTATCCATAATTATAATCTATTTTATTAATTCATATATTCACACTTGTAAATAATTTAATATAATTTTTTATTTTTAAATTATTATTTTTATATATATTAATATTTTAAACATTTGTTTACTTTTTATTATTTAAATTTTTTTTTCAAAATTCAAAAAGAATATTACTTTAAGATAATTATTTTTTAATGTAACGATATTCTTAATTACGATATAATAAATATTTTTTTAAACAATTTATTAGAAATTAATATACTATATAAAAAATAAAATATATATTAATAATAAAAAAACAAATATTCATAATAAATATTTTATTAAAATCCTCATTTTTATTTTTATTCTTATTCTTCTTTTTTATTGTTATCATTTTTCACTTAACCTTTTAAAAAAAATTAAAAAAACTATAATACAAATAAATTAATAAAAATTACCTTCTTTTTTAAAAGCTTCCCATTCTTTTTAAACAGTATTAAATCTTCCGAAATATTTGCTAAAAGGTTAAAGTGTGCTAATATATCTAACATGCCTTAAACAATGTGGATTATCTAATCTGATTTTTTCTTCAAAAGCTACTCTAAATGCAAAATGAAGAACTCCTGCTAAAGCAATATCTGCAATACTTAATTTTTATCCAACCAAAAAAACATCAATTTTTAATTAATCATTAAAAAACTTCAAATACTTTTCGAATTATTTCTTTCCATTTTTTACTGTATTCTCATCATAAGCCTTATATCCGTAAATACTATTAGTAACATCAGTAACTGCGCTGTATAAACTATTAATCGCCATATCAAAAAACTAGTCTATTTTAGTTTCTTCTAAACCGTTTTTTCCTTATAATTTTTAACTAGCTCTTACTATATATTTTATTATCGCAGTTATAGTATATATTGTATCCTTTTCTTCTGTTATTAATATTGGGACGATTCCTATTGGATATTTCTTCATGAATTCTTTCCCCATAGCTTCTTTGTATTCTACATATACATGATTTATAGGTACGTTACAAAACTCAGCGGTTACTAATGCCAGATTAGTGTGAATATTTCCTACTGGTCCTAATAATTGTAATACCATTATTATTATTTGTTTTTATAATATTTTTTTATATTAGAAATTGATATATCTTTTTTGTTTTTTTTGTTGTATATATTTAATTAATGTTTATACTTTTTATATTATAAATATTTTTTCTTTATTTTTTTATAAAATTAATATTTTATTTTTAAAAATAAAAAAAAAAAAATATTAATAATATATTTTTATTTAAAATATAAATATTAATAAAAAAAAAATAACTATAACAAAATAAAAAAAAAACATATACTTACGTTTTCTTAAAAAAATAAAATAAAAAAAACCAAAATAAATATATGTTTAGTTTAGAATTCAGTAAATTTGAAAATGAGGAAGATATATCAAAATTATATTCTATCTACAACTAAGATAAAGATAGACGTGTAATGAATGAAGACGTATTCTAAGAACCCTATCATTCAAGACCCGTTCCCCGCAAAATAAAACAGAAAATTGCCTTAGACAACAATAATTATATTGAAGAAGACTATGGGCCTTATTTGAGATATTTATTAATGTTATATTTAATATTATTATTTTAGGTAATTTTCGTATATTTATTTATAACTGTATTAGTTAATTATTTTCCAGATGTTTTAAATTATTTTGAATAAAGTATATGGATATTATGTGTAACTCTGCCTTTATTTATACTTTTGATATTTACTAGTTATTTCTTGAGACCAAGAGTCAGTTCATGTCCTATTAATGCTTTAATTTTATTCGCTTATACATTTTTTTTATCAATTTTATATTGCTTTATTTACAATTTATATGGAGAAGGGTTAGCTTTTTATATTCTAGCGCTTTTAGGAGGACTTTATTTTTCGTTAGTTTGTTATGTTATTATGTCACATAATAGTTAATTATATCTCTAAGGAAATATTTTTTTTATATGTATAAGTACTTTTATAGTTTATTAAATGTATCTTCTTTTTCAAAATATTAATTATTTAAAATTACTTGTTATACTTACTTTGGCTATTATATATGCTCATTTACTTGTTTTTGAATCATAAACTAAAATTCTAGATTAATTCTTTTATGAAAGAGATACCGTTATTAGCTCGGTTACGGTTTTTCCAGATATTATTGAACTCATTATTAAAATTAATGGATTACTTAAATAATTTGTTATGTAAAGAATTAAAAAAAAAGCTGAATGAATAATAAAATGTATTTATATTTTTTTATATTTTATATATAATTAAATATAAATAATTATTTTTTTCTAAGGTTTGCATTTTTTATTAAAAAAAACATATATATATATATATATTTATTGTTAAATAAATATACATAGTTATATTTTATATATAGTTTATATTTAAAATACTTTTCAATCCAATGTTTTTTATAATTTTCAAAGATCAAAACTTATAATAATAATAATATGAAACATAAAAATTTTGTTTATGTTTAAATAAAAAATAATTAATATTTTTAAATATTAGAATTTAATGAGATAAATATTTACAAATAATTATTTATAAAATATTAAATAGAAAATTTTAATATTTAAAAAAAAAAAAAAAAAAACTTTGTTAAATAAAAATAATGTAATAATGAAAAATTTACATATGTTTAAATAATTATATTTTATTATTTTTTTTAATAGAAATATAATAAAAATAATACAATAAAATAAAATAACATTAAATCCAATATTTCTTTTTTAAAAAATAATAGTAATCAAATTCAAACATTAATTTCACCCTTGTTAATAGCTTCAATAATTTTCTTGGGATGTTATTTGTTGACTGTAACACCAATAGATTAACTATATATATAAAAAAAATAGATATATGTTATATATATATATATAATATTACGCAGTTCCTAGAATAGATTTTACTGTTCCTGCGAATGTTTTTGCGAACGATTTATTATCAGCTTCCATAATTTTTGCAACTTTTTTTATTTATTCTAATGAAAGGTCGCCGTTGTGTTTAACTATTATTAATATAAATATTATAATTATATAAAATATATTTTTTTATACCATTTTTAACTTTCTTTCTATCTCTTACATGTTTTCCGAGTTCCTTTATAAGTAAAGCAGAAGATGTATTTAAAATTGTAACTTCAGCAGCTCTATTTTAGCATTTTAATGAAACCATAACTCTAATACCTTTATGATCGTTACAAGCTTTAATAATATCTTCACCAACTTTTTTTGCGTTCTTTTTTATTTTATAAATAACAAAAAAAATGTTTAATATTTTTATCCCAAATTTTATAAAAAAATATTATCATATTATATATATATTTATTTATTTTATATATAAGAATATTAAATTTGATTGTTATACCAAACCAAGAGGACCAAGTTTAGGTGCCAATGTAGATGCAGGACCAGGTTCACCACCGAAAACTTTAATGTTAACTTTTTTTTTTTTTTTTTAATTATTCAGTATTAATATATGTAGCTTCTTCTTTTTTTTTTATTACTGAATCTAACTTCGTTGGGATCAACTTTAGGAGGCATTTTTAATTTTTTTTTTTTTTTTTTTATTTTTTTTTTGTAAATAAATTATTATATATCTTTAAATAAATATTAATTATTTTTTTATTTTTTTGTTATTTAATAAAATTGATCCTTATTTAATTTTGACAAAATTAATTTTTACTTTATTTTTTATGGAGTAAAAATAAAATATTTAATAATATTTTTATTTTTAAATAACTACTTAAATGGTTTACTGAATTTAAATTTTTAAATAAATTCTTTAAAAAATATAGTATTTTTAACTTATAAAAGTTCACTAAAAAAAATTTACTTTAATAAGTTAAGATTAATAAATTTAAAGATAATATAATAAATATAAATATTTAATAAAAATTTTCATATATATTTATAAATTTTATATTTAAATAATTAAATAAAAGTTAAAAATAGAAAAAATACATTAAATTTTATAAACATAATAATAAAAAAAAATATTAATAAATAATATAATTATCTAATATTCTTAAAAATAATTACTTTTAATTTATTAAAAATTATAATATACTTTTAAACAATTTATTTATATAAATTAAAAGATAAAGAAAAAGCAAAAAATTTTAACAAATAATATATATAATAAATGATTTTTTTATTTAAAAGAAGAAAAATGTTATTTATTATCAAATTATAATATATAAAAAATTCAAAAATTTTCAATTTTTTTGCAAATAATTTAATCCAATATTATTTTGAATTCTTGGTGAAAATTTTTTATTAAGATTACTAACATTAGAATTATTACCAACATTATTATTTTAAATTTGACCCGGAGACCTATTATTTCCAAAATTATTGAAAGTTTGAAAGTTCAAATCATTATTATATTATCCTTTTAAATTTCCTTATTAAAATTTCAGCTAAGATTATTTATTATTTTATCCAGGATTAATCTAAATTTATTAATTAAATTAAGAATTATTATTTTTTATATTAGCCATAGTAGCCAAGTACAAAGGAATTTACTTTTTAAAATCCTAATCAGATTAAAGTATTTATTATTAAGGTTTTAAATAATTAAAAGAAAATTATTACTAAGGTTTTTATTACTATTAAAGAGGACTTCTATTTTTTAAAAAGCCTTCTCCTTATTTTTATGATACATTTATTGGTTTTTAAATTAAAGCTTATTATTATTATAATTATATAATGTAATTTTATTTATTTATTTGAAAATTGTCATAATTATTATTATTATAATTATTATAATTATTATTATTATTATTATTGTTATTATTATTATTGTTATTATTGTTATTATTAATATCATTAATATTATTATTATTTTATTTATCTATGATAGATTTTTGTAAATTTTATTATAATAAATTACTTTAAATTGGTTTAAATAATTTATTATTTAAATTTGAATAACTATAGTTAGGAATTTATTATTAATATTAAGGAGTTTCTTGTTAAAAAATCGTTTTTTAAGGTTAAGGAGATTAACTTTTAATAAAATTTGCTGGAATAATTTATTTTTCAAAATTCTATAATTTTAAATTTTAATAAAATAAAATAAAACACATAAAAAATGTAAATATAATAAACAAAACAACAACAAATAAATAATATTAATATAAAATATAATTATTTATTTTAAATAAAAAAAATATATGTATTAAAAAAGTTACTTATAATTATCCTAATTTAACGTTAAAATCATCTAAAATAACTTAAATTGGAGTTTTTGTATTTTCAAGATTTTATTTATATGTATATCCTATAAAGTTTATATTTTTTCTATTTTTGTCTATTTTCTTATTATTTTCTGGCTAAATCCAAGGCTCTTCTTCATCAAATTTATCAAAATTTTAAACATCAATATCATTATTAACATCTGGCAAATAAACAGCTTATTTTTACCTTAATTTTTTCCATTCTACGCCTCTAAAAAATGGATGAGCACATACTTCTTAAACTCCATGAAGTCCCAACCTTTCTTTTTAATCTGAAATAAGTTTATAAATTAAATCTTTAGCATGAGGTGAAAGATTCGACTCCTCTGGAATTGAAAAATGACTTTTCCAATTAATAATTTTTTAACAAGTTTCAGCTGGTTATTCTGAAAAAAAAGGAGGATACCCAACTAACATTTCAAATAAAATAACTCCTAAACTCCACCAATCAACTAATTCTGTATATCCTTATTGTCCAAAAACCTCAGGAGCAATATAATCAGGGGTTCCAACTGTAGAAAATACTAACTAAAAATATTTATTAATATATATATTTATTTGATTTTTTTTTTTGTAAATTACTTATCTATTTTTTTTATATAATTCATGTCTTTTTGTCAGTAAAATTGTAGGATCTTTTTAAACAGTACCTTCTAATTAATATATTTAATCTTTATTCAATATATTTTTAGTCTTAAAAAATTATAAAATAATAAATAAAAAAAAAAAAATATAAATATATATATATATATTTTATATATATTTATATATATTTTTATATAATATATATATCATATATATACTGAATGTTTGCAAAGTCCAAAATCAGATAATTTTATATGCCCATTTTTTTCAATTAAAATATTATCTGGTTTTAAATCTCTATGTATATAATTCATTTTATGCACTGAATCAATAGCCAATACTAATTCACTTGCATAAAATCTTGATTCTTATTCTGTTAAAATATCTTTCTTCATTAATAAAGTCATTAAATCTTTATTATTAAATAAAAATTATAATATATAAATATATATTACCTCCTCCTTATAAATATTCCATTACTAAATAAAGATAATTACTATCTTAAAACGAACAAATCAAATTTACTATCCATGGATTGTTCAATGTAGCTAATATATCCCTTTCAGCTCTGACATGATTTATTTAATTTTTTTAAAGCATTTCTGATTTTTTCATTTTTTTTATTGCCACTATTTAACCTGTTTTTTTATCTCTACATACTCGAACTTCTCCAAAAGCACCTCTTCCTATTATTGATAAAGGTTCATAATCATTCGCTGTTATTTTTTATCTCCTTTTTTATTAAAAAAAATAAATTAATGAAATATTAAAAATATAAATTTTATTTTTCTTTATTATTTAAAAAGTGAACAACCAATAATTTATTTTGTTTAAATTTTATTTTTTATATTTTGTATTTTATCTTTACTTTTTTCTACTAAATTAAAGTTCTTATTTTATAACTTCTCTTTCTATTATTTATTTTTCAACAGGATTCATATTTAATATATCCATCTTTTCTTATAAAAGCTATAAATTTTATTTAAATTCTTTTTCTGATATTAATGCTTTTGCGTATTTTCCTTAATATTTATATTTTTAAATTAATTATAATTTTCATAAAAATAAAATAAATAATAATACTTTCTATATATGCTTTAGCTGATTCGACTCTATCCTTTGTTGCTGCTGATATTTAGAGTTATTATTATTTTGTATTTTAACCGTCTTATTAAATATTGTTATTGTTCATTTTATCAAAAAAAAAAAAAAACGAAAGAATATTTTTTTTTGTAATTTTTTTTTTATATTTATATATAATTTTGTTTGTTTTTTAGTCTATTAATATTTTCTTTGAATAAAAAAGAAAAAAAAATATAACGATAAATGAATATTTGATAAAAAATATTTTTTTGGATTAAATAAAAACATAATTTATTCTCTTTTATTTTTAAGGGATAATATATACATGAATTCATAGAAATATTTTTAATTTTAAACTTGTTATAATAATAAAATTTTCAATAAAGGTAATTAATTGATTCTTTTTTATTATTTGTTTAAATAAATAAATTGCAAAAAAAAAAAAATTAATTAATTTAATTAAAAAACAGATTATATTAAATAAAATTATTTAAATATTTATGTAATTTAAATTTAATAATAAAATGATTTTATATTACAAATTATCATTTATTAATAAAATTATTTTATCATAATTTCTTTTTTTATTTATTTTATAATAATGAATATTATATTAAATTTTTTAAATAAAATTTTAATATTAAAATATAAAACTAAATAAATAATATTCAAATATTTTTATTATTATTTATTTCTTTATTTAATTATATATATAATATTCTTTAAAAATAATATATTCTTTTTAAATTTTTTAAATATAAAAAAAAAAATGTAAAATAACCTATATGAAAACTATAAAATAAATATAAGATAAAAAATTCAGATATTTAAATAAAATTATTTATATTTTATAGATATTTTTATATATAAATAATTTTTTATATATTTATTTTCTAAATATTTTTTTATATTTAATTTTAAATTAATTAAAATATTTATAAAAATTAAAAAAAAAAATAATTAAAAATAAACAAAATATAAAAAAAGAAAATAAATTCTTTTAAAAAAAAATGAGTAAAATTCCAAAAAAACAAATTCAACAAAAGACTAGTTTTTTTACAGAAAAGTCTAGTAAAGTCATTTATTTAAATTTTATATAAATAATCAAAATACATACATACAGAAAAAACATATAAAAAGCACTTTAATCAAATAAAATAATTTTTTAATTTCCCAATAAAAAGATTAAAATGAATGAAAGCTTTTTTTAAAAAAAAATAATAATAATATATAAATTTTTCAAATAATAAAAAATTTATTTTCAAAATTAATTAAAAAAAATATATATAATAAAAAAGAAAGATATTGAAGATGAAGAGGATGAAGAAAATGAAAAAAACATGCTGAAAAAACTCAAAAAAAACAAAGAGAAAAAATCTAAAAAAATTCTTTAATCAGATTCTGATTCTGACCAAATGAACAATGAGCAAACTAGAATTTTTATAAAAAAGAAAAAAGTCGAAGAGTAAAAAATGCCTTAAGAAGAGACACAAATAAGTGCTAATAATTACAAAAATGATAGTAGAAAAATCATATATGTTCCTCCTTTAAATATAAATATGGTAGAAAATTGCATTTTATATTTTAAATTAACAAAAAAAAAAATTAACAAAAAAAGTGCTTTTAAGAAATATTATAATAAACTTAAAAAGATCCCAATAGTCTAACTATTATAAGGAATATATTATCTGCAGGAAATAAAAAGCTTATTGATAAATAAATTACTTTTAAAAAGAAATGGAATTAATTAAGAAATTCTAATTGTTCTCATGAAGAATATTAAAAATGGGAAGAATCATTGAAAAAAAGTGAAGCTTTTGACATAAAAGATATTAAAGAAACAATTATATAAAGACTCGTAAATTGCAAAATAAAGGGTATTTATTTAAAAAAATATAATAATATAAATTATATATATATATATATATATATATAGGATTTTAAAGTAAGGAATAATTACTATAAAAGGGAATTTAAGAAATAATTGAATAAAATCCTTAAATTAATGATATAGAATATGAATTAGATGAAGCTTCATTAGAAGAGTTCAGAAATGACTAATTTAATTTATTAGAAAAATTAATGAGTGAAAATAACTTAATTGCCACTGATTTATTAAGCTAAAATAATTTATAAAATATTGAAAACTTAGATCAGGCAATAATTGAAATAGAGGAAAATTATTATAATAGCAAAAATAGTGTATAAAAATAATTCGAAATATACGAAAAAGAAGAAAATAGTATAAAAAAATATACTTAAGTAAATATTTCGAAAATAAAGAAAAATCTTAATAATTTTAAGTGCCTTAATAATAAAATTAGTCATAAAATCTTAATTATTTAAATGATTAAAATGATGATTTTCATTCTAAAAATTCATTTGATATTTTCAAAAATATTGAAAATTATTCTTTTTAGAAAATTTTTAATAATTATGATAAATATATCAATTTATCTAATTAGGATTGCTCATTAATCACTATGAGGGTAAAATCGCTTCTTTTAGATATTAAATCTGACGAATTGTTTACTGATGTAAAATTCTAAAAAGAATAGTTTGATAAGTATAAATAACTTTTATAAAAAATAAATGTAATTTTTTGTTATTATGTTTTCATTTATATATATTTTTTCTTTCTTTTTTTTTTTTTTTAATAGAGTATTGAAAATACTGATAAATTAGATGAATAAACTACATTTTAACTTGTAGAGTTGACTGCTTATATTATGAATAATGTCCATTATTTTTAAAAATTTAATTTAAAATGCGATTTGTTACACCCTTTAGATCTTTAATATGTTATAGATAAGTTTTTGAATAATATTTAAAAATAAAATAAATGATTAGGATAAGAAATATAAATAAATAAGAAACAAAGGAGTTTTTTAAAAAAACTAAATATAAGTTTATTTATTTGATGATGATAAAATATTAATAAAAATTTTGATTTTTTTTTTTTTTTGATTTTTTTGATTTTTTTTTTTAGTTTAATTAATTTCATTTATTATTATTTTTTAAAGAAAAATATTTAAACTAAAAAACAAATTTTAATAATTTTTTTTTATATGTATTTATATTATATATTATATTTTTTTAAATGAATTAAAAAAAATAAAAAATTATAATATTTTTTTTAATTTTTTTTTAAAAAAATTTATCTGATTTATAATTTTTAAAAATGGTAATTATTTAAAATTAATATAATTTATTAAATAATAATAAACAGAAATTTTAAAATAAAAAAACATAAAAAAAATAATAATAATTAAATTTACTTTATAAAATAATTAAATTTTATTTGTTTATTGATATATATATATAAAAAAAAAAAACGATTTACTAATTTATATAAATACATACATACATAAATATATTAATCTATGGGATAATGTTGTGGTCAAATTAATTAAGATTTAAAGAAGACCCAATAATCAACTGAAATAGATATTAACGATATTTAATAATGTTCGGATAAATTATAAATAGATTAATAATTATCATAAAGTTAAGGGACTTCCAGGAATTAACATGAATCCTCAAAATTAGATTAGAATTCTATAATAAAAATGCATTAATCAAATATAGATATATTAGAATTAGATAAATAATACGATTAATAATATGTAATATAAAATTATTAAATTTTTTATTATAATAAAAAATTATATGTAGATATTCCTTAGACTATATACAGATACAAGTGATATAGAATAACCAAAATAAAACATAATTATATAAGACTGTTATTAATAAGTAGAGAATATTCAAAAATAAATAGAATAAACACAAAATCAATACAAATAAAATAAAAGTTTTTGCGAAAACATCAAAAGATAATCAATTAATTTATAAAATTTTTAATTTAGTGCTTTAAATTTGGGAAACAAATAAAACCAGGAAGAATTAGCCAAAATTTAAGAAGAATAAAAATAAATGGAAATTTAATAATAAAAATTATAAGAAGAATAGATTTTATTAGAATAAAAAGAAGCAGAATATAAAAAATAATTGGAGGAATAATAAAAATAATTATAAATTATATAAATTGAATAATTACTGTAAAAGTAAAATATACCAATAATAGAAAAAAAAATATATAGTAAAAAAAGAAAATAATATAATAAATTAAAAAGAATTTTAATTAAATGAAAAATATCTACTTCTTAAACTCTATATATTAATAAAAATAATATTATTCCTAAAAATATTAAGAATAATATATAATTGTCACCTAAAATGAATAATTTAAATTAAGATAGTAATAATAGTGGGTCTTAATTAAGTTTAGATAGACCAAAATCTATTATTAAAAAAAGAAACGAAAAATCTTTGGCTGGATCTGAGGCTGGAAGTTAAAAATAAAAATAAAAAAAAAGTTAAGTTTAAAGAAAGCATTATCTAAAAAGTAAATAAAAAGAAAAAAAATATTGAAAATTTAGTTTATATTTTCTTTTTTTGGCTAAAAATATGATTATAAAATACTAAATAAATATTAAATTAGAAATAAAAAATATTTTAAGTAATAATATATTTAATTACGTTTTTTTAATGTATTTTTATTTGTTAATATTAGAAATATATATATATTTTGTATACTTTCATAAATTTTTTAAAAATATTTTCTTTTATAAATGTATAAATAATATATGAGAGAAAAAAAATTATCAAAAAATTTTTTTTAATAAAATAAAAACAAATATCTATATATAATATATATATACTATTTATAATTTATATTAATAACTAATAATTATAATTTATTATTATTTTTTATAGTATTTTTACTTTTATTATTAATATTATTGTTTTTTATTATATATATTTTCAATATAAGTATTTAATTTATGAATTATTAGATTCTTTTTTGATATTTTATATAGGAATAGAAATAGATCTATTTTCTTAATTAATAGTTAAATTACTTTAATTTTGTATATTATTTATAGCAATAGTATTTTTATAAAGATCATAATATTTATTTTGTTCGGAATTTAATATTTTTTTCTACTAATTAATAAAAAAATTAATTTAATTAATAGATGTATTATCTATCTACGAATTAACCAAAAATGTATCAATCTTTAATTTATTTTTGTCATTATTTTTTTAATAACTGATTAAATTTAATTTTAATTAAATTCTGGTCTATAAAAATAAAAAGAATTTTAAAATATATTCTTAATATTATTTTTTTATTAATTTTTAATTAAAAAATTATAATATAAATTATTATTATTATTAATATTATTATTATTATTATTATTAATATTATTACTTTTATTATTATCTTAGTTATTTTTATTTTAATATAAAATATTACTTTTATTTAGATTTTCATTATTATCCATCTCTTAATTATTTTTTTTTAAATTATTATTATATTTCTTTATTTTTAACATATTATTTTTATTATTTTATATTTAACTTTGATTATATTTATTTTTATGCAAAGAAAGTTCATTTTTTGAATTATTATTATTAATTTTATTTTTTTAAATTATTTATGATTTTTTTAAATATTATTCTATATTTATAAACTCATCGTATTTTTCTATAGTAAATTATGAATTAAGTTTTATACTTTTAATTTCTTCTTTTTTAAATATATCTAAACTATTATTATTTACAGAACTTTTATTACGGTTATGGTTAGAAATAGAATTGATTATATTTTATTAATTTGTGAATTATTTTATTTTATCTTCACTTTGTATATTTTGAAAAGTCTATGATAATGACTTTATGCAGTTATTATTATTTCTTTCATTTTAAATAATTTTATTTTTTTGTTATTAATTAAATTTAATATTTACTATATTATCGAAATTAGTAAAAAAAAAATATTTCTTGCCATAAATTATTATTAATACTTTATTATTATATTTTATTTTATTATTTTTTTGATTAATTGCTAGAATTTTTATTTTCTTATACAATTTCGGTTTATTGTACTGATTTAAAAGGTGAGTTTTTATTTAATTCTCTTTATGTAGTTTTTTTCTTATTTTTTTTTGTTTTTTTCAATTTATTAAATATATTTTTAATATAATTTACAATTGAATCTGCTGTTGTTATTATTGAATCTAATGGACAGTGTATTTCTTATGACTCTTTATGTGATCTTTTAAATAAAAAATTATTCTTTGATTTATTTAGGATTTGGTTAGCTTTTTTCATTACTTAGTTTAAATTTGAGTTAGTTGTATTTGTTAGATTTTAACGGCATGTTTTCGATTTAGTATGAAGTATGGAATTATAATTTTAGTGTAGGATTTAGTATTGTCTTTGTGAGTTTTGTAAATTCATTTTTTATTTTATAGTTGATAATATTTTTAATTATATTTTGTTTTATCTATTAATATTTTATTCATTAATATTAAATTTTTAAAAATATTTAAATTTATAACTTGAAATATTAAAAATAAAAACAATG